ACTGCTTACAGGTAGAGCAAGAGATCTCTTCGTCGCCTTCACGTGTCCCATCGGGCCGTGCTGGAGCTCCCGATGAGATAGCCGAGGCAATTCTCTTCCTGGCTGATAGGTAGGTCGCATAAAAAGGTTCTTTCAGGTTATGTGAGAGTCGGCGCAGTTTGTCGACGGGGGGGGCATTTTGCACTTTTGCTACTTCCCATCGACGTGTCGACCTATCTAGACAGCCTCTTCTCGAGTTGACAGGTTTTAACATGATGGCTTGACTACCTTGTTCCAGCTTCACAAGAGTTCACAGGTTTCGCCAGAGTGAGACATGTAAACCGGAACTGAGGAAGCAATGAGTACAAAATGCCCCCCCCCGTCGACAAACAGCGCCGTGAGAATCTGGGAGCAATGTTGTTTTTTTCATTTAATCGAGCAAAAGCCCATGAACAAGCTCAGCTAGTTGCAAAAACATAGGGGTGAATACAGATTCGACTTCATAGAAAGCCCTGGGAGGGGGGTTGGGGTACCAGAGCAAGAACTTCTGATAGCTTTGGTGTTTCGCGGAATTGTTTCTCAACGGCAAGACCGGTTCAGGTCCTGGTACTGAATAGTGAGCTAAATAGCAGACCCCGCTGTATGAGCAGAGCTAGAGAACCACTGCGGTTTCTTTTCGCAGTCTTCACTTCAAGAGGAGGAGCGCACCTATGAGGGAAGTGCCATGGTTCTCTGTCTCCGCCCAGCCGCCCAATGTTGTCTGTGATTGTAACTTGTTGAACAAATTTGACGCTATGTTCCAGGCAAAAGTCGGCTTACATAGTTGGCCACCAGCTTGTGATCGACGGTGGATCATCTCTGTTGATGGGGGCAATGACCGATGGACTCAAAGTCTTCACTGAAGTGCTCGCTGGCCTCATTTTGAAGTTATTGTATATGTTGGCAACACGAGCCTTATTTTCCGCGAGGAAATAATACTTTTTATGAATGGAGGGTATTTTATGCAGCGCATTACGTTAGGTCAAGTTAGAAATGGTGAAGAAAAAGGTGTGAAATGGGTGCCATTTGGCCTGGTGGGGGCACCAAATGGCGCTTAGCGAAGCTTGTCCAAGTCATCCTGTGAAAACCTGTAAATCTGTCCCACTTGCACCACTTCGCAGAGTTCGCAGGAGCTAACAGGCTCACTTCGACGTTTTAGTTAACATGGGTATGCAAGGGAACTAGCGAGGGTGCAGAAGTGCCCACCCCTCCACTCCCTAAACCGAACAGCGCCAATTTCTTGAAGGTGAAGGTGGAACGGACCACTAGAGCGCTGGTTCTACTAGTCCCTTAAATTGACAGGATGTCTTCTCCTTCAATGCAATTCCTGAATACAGGATAACTTAATGAGAACTGGAAGCAAATGGGGCCCCCTCTCTGCCACCGTGCAATTCCTAAACCAACTGAGATATGGACAAAAGCCTTGAGCAGGCAGGACTCGATCCAGAATCTCACGCTCACCAGCGAAAACGCTGTCCATTGCTCCACAGAGCTTACCGTCTCTAACACTTTCAGCAGACTGGGTTTCATGCCTCTAGAGCATTCAACAAGGAGAACTTACCTTCTGTGGTTCGTTCCGCCCTGTCCCAATCACATCTTTGCCATTTCGCAGCCCCGGGGCCTTGTCAGTGGTAGCTCTGACGAAATCGAGGCATAGAGGAGGGGCTGACAAGAAAAAACAGCGATTCTTTTAATAGACTATGTTTGCGTTTCTGCCACATTCACTGCTATTGGCAAACAGCTTACCGTCGTAAATGCTCTGTTACGAGCAAAACAAAGCTAAGCTCTCAGTGATAATAACAGTGGTGGTGCTACGGTAATAAACAGCAGTATTAAGCAGAATCTTGTCGAAAATCGTACTATTACTTCAAAGTCAGCGATTCTAAAGCAGGGTTTGAGTTGGAAAGGTTGATAGTAGTCTGCTCAAGAATAGGAAGGGGGCGCTGTTCAGCGACGGGGGGCATTCTGCACATTTGATACTTCCCAACATGTCAACCCATCTGGACAGCCTCTTCTCGAGTTGACAGGTTTTACCATGATGGCTTGACGAGCTTGCTCCAGCTTCACAAGAGTTCACAGGTTTCACCAGAGTGAGACTTGTAAACCGAACTAGTGAAGCAACGAAAGTGCAAAATGTTCCCCTCCCCCTCGTCACCGAACTGCGCCAGGAAGTCGTGATGAAACAGGTTTCAGTACTCGGCTGGAATGTTGCTTGCGCCTTTTTCTTGCAGAGCCGCTGACTACGAACTGCAGGGAAGAAGCTGAAAGGGCTGGGTGCCAAAGTTAAAGTAGTAGAAAAAAATCAGAAAAAACGGTGCCAGGTGCTCGAAATAAAACTCTCGTGAAATCAGGTCCATAGAAGAGGACACTGAAGTGAGAGCGTGGTCGAGTAGAGAAAGCTGCCGTATGAGGTAAGAAATTGAAGGTCAGGTAGACCGAAAACGTGAGGCGATTTTGTTGTGGGCGTTGAACCAAAGCGATTACCGACCAACGACACGACTGGTTCGGGTAACAGGCGACTACACCATAAGCCTTCTTACTGACCCTCTCTTTCTCGCTAGCCTCCAAGGTGGACACATTCTCTGACTTTGTGTGCTGTTAAGGTTACTCTGGGCTTAAAATGCGTACTGACAGCCGCATTATAAAAGGCCCTGTTACTCGTGCTGATAAG